TCTACTGACTTTATGAACTTTATGTAATTTTTTTTTTTTCCTGCAGTTTTACGTTCCTTCTCCATAAACAGTTAAGAGCTTTGTGTGTTTGTGACTATATTCTTCCTTCATTTCATCTTCACAGTTTTATCAAGAGTGTACATTTCTCCTTTCATCTTCTTCTTCACTAGTAGGAAGTCTGCCAGTGCACTTCAAGGCAGCCCACACAACTATGTTCCCACCTGCAAGCTTGTCCTTTGGTTTGGTGTTTCTGGGGTAAAGTGCAGAGCCACTCTTCCTTCAAACACGGTGTGTGCATTGACGTCCAAAGCTTTCAGTTTTGGTTTCATCTGAGCAGTCCAGGATTCCCCAGTTTTTTGCTGGTTTGTCCAAGTCTTCTGCAGCTGATTTCAAAGAAGGTTCAGCATCCTTTCTTTTCAAAAGTGTGTGTAGAGGTCGTTGCAGTTTAGTTATTTCTTTGTTTACTGGAGGAAAAATAGGGCTGCAATTTCATTGACTGTCTTGTAGTCTACAAGTTCTTTGGTTAAGAGGAGGATTTAGGGAAATGATGATCTTTCCCCTTCCTGATTGAGGCTTAAACTGTTCAGATATTTTAAAGATGTTTGGATTTTCATATCATTCAGAGCAATATTTTAGGCTATCAGATAATATTTATCCAGCTGGTACTGATTTGCACATAGCAGCAGGAATGTTTTCTAAAAATAACTGTAAAATTATGTTTTTGCCAAATCAAGCCTCTCCTACAGTGAGAGTTGTTGCAAACTGAGTACAGAATATATTTTTTGGAAGTTTTTAAAAATTCACTTCAGAATAAGAGGCTATTTACCATAGAATCATGGATGATGGAATTACCTTGTTAATGGTGCCTTTAATCACAGTTGGATTGATCTATTGTCTGTGGCTGCTTGCGTGTGTGTGTGTGTGTGTGTGTGTGTGTGTGTGTGTGTGTGTGTGTTTTAAACGAAACACAGCCTTTGATCCGAATAGTGAGAGGAAAAAATATAGCCTAGAGTCAAGCGAGGAAGTGCTTTGTGGCGCATGAACAGAATATGAATTAGAATTTGAGCTAAAAATAAAAATCTGCAGGTAAGTTGTGAAATGCCATTGACAACCAAATATATAAGGATTTCTTTGAGCAGGGGTTTCTTTTTATCTTGGAATGACACTTTAGAGTCTGATCGTCAGACATAAGCAAACACATTGTAATCCGTTTGAACTATGCAGAGGATTAACATGATCATTTTCCACTTACATGTTGCCTCTTTAAAACGCTGTTAGCGTAATTCTCCCAAACGTTTGCAAAGTAAACGGAGCGGACCTTTACGTCCTCATAAAGCGCATTATCTCCTGCATTGCATCCGTTTGCTTTAACATCCTCCGCTCTGCCCCGGAAACCGTGAAACGGCACTTTAATTATGTGATTACGTAACATTTTGCTGCGTCAAGGAGCTGAATCAGCAGCGGGTTCGGGCTCCCTCATGTGAGCCGCTTCTTCATAGGATTATTCGAGAAGAAAATAAAAAAAAAAAAATTGAAAAGTGCTCCTCGTGTGACTGATGGCATCAGAAGGCCGTTCGTTAACTTCCCTACGCCAGACATGGCGTCTTGGATCAGCCTGGTGAAATTACAGGGGATGAAACTATGGCAGCAAAGTCCATAACAGTCACAAATAACAGCCTGGTGTGACAAGCGAAATTACACGTCTTTGGAGTAAAATTTTAATGGCGTGATATAATTGTATCAATGCGAGGAATGTGCAGTTTAGCGCGATGCTTTCATGTCTTGGTGGTGAAGCTTACTGTGAATTTTTTTTGTGATCTTTTGAGGCTTTTGATCAAATAAGAAAAAATGGCTAATTCTGTCTTTAAGATGGGGTTGGTTTATGATGGACTTAGAGCTAGTGCAGGACTGAGAGAGGACTCGTTCGCTTAGATTGCGGCATATAAATCTTTTTGGTCTGGATAATATATTGCACATAACTCAGCTTTGGTAGCTGCAGTTAAGCAAAGTTTGGATAATGCTGAAAACAGAGCAGGATTACAGCGTAAGCAGCGGTTGATCACCTGCAGACACCATTAAGGTTGGGTCATTATGCAGCCGTGGTATGGATGTATTTATGTGGCTCAGTGGCTGCACTATATGAGTGGATGACTGGAAGTAGTTCCCACACCCTCTCAGGTGTCCTGTGCTCGGGGCGGCCTGGCACAGGTATTCACATAAAGGTTTTCTTTGTGTGCAGCCAGGAACAGGTAACCATTTGTGCCAGCCCTGCAATGTACATCTGTGTGTGTGCATAGGTGTGTGTGTGTCTTTCTGAAACAAAGACGGATAGGATTTTCTGGCCGGCCTACCCCCCACAAGAGCAGGTGTGGCTTTTCAGTGGCTTCGTATTCGCCGAATGTGGCACAAGTGCGCTCGGTAAACAGAAAGATAAACTGTGATTTCCACCCTGCGATTCTCAACACAGCCAGCAGCAGCATACGTAGGCAGACGTCCTTGGAGAAACAAACGTTTAAGCTCGCTTTTGTGTTCTTCAGAAACACTATGTGAGTGTATCTCGCAAGTGCAAAAGAGATTTAATATAATACTAATGAAGGCAAAAGAAAAGGAAACAGTCACAGTTTGCTAATATTTGCGGCCTTTGAACATGAATATGAACAGTAAATGATAAATGACCTCTATGGTTTAATAGCTTTCGAGTGCATGCTGGCAGGAGTAAATAGTGGAAAGATAAAAAGTTAAAAATTAACATTAGGTCTACCTTTTTATTGCAAAGTGAAATTAAAAGGAACATTTGCTTTTATTTCTTCTCTGTAGCTCTTTTGAAATTACAGGTTTACTAAGGAATACATTGTAAAATCAGTAGATTGAACTACATGAAGCTTTATGAAAGATATCTGGGTTTGTTGTGTTGAGCAAGTTCGATTCACAAAGGACGAAGTTGGTTTACGTCATATTCAGGGTCCTCTGCATATTGTAAACTAAACTAAACATGGACCAGTTTCCTTTCCTTCATCAGTTTATGTTTAGTGTTTGTAGCCTGACCTCTTCCAGCTAACTGTTCAAATCTCTTCTGTACACTTTGCTGTTAATAAACCTTAATTCATCCAAACTGTCACTAAAGCAGTTATTTATTATTTATAGCTATTTTAATCAGAACACGAATCCAGAGAAAGCCCTACCAGTTTACAGATTACAGATGACTTATTCTTATTAAACACGAGGAACCAATATGTAGTTTTATACTTTTACCTTTTCGTCTTTATTTCAGTGTGCTGTTTTGTTTTTATTTCCTTGTAATTCATGTAAAGCACTTTGAACTGCAATTTTATTGCTTTGTAAGGCAATAAAAGTGCCTTACCGTAATTGCTTCATTACTTTAGTTGTAAAAAACCAAAATGAGTCTGGAAAGTTGGCTGATAATTTCTTCGATTGGAACTAGAGCCACGAATGTGACCAAATGTTCCTCTAATAATAGCTGCTTAAAAATGGAAGAATTAGGTTCTCTCACTTTAATTATTTAACAACAGCAGCTAATCAGAAGACAAGAATCTCTGCCTTCTCCTGTGCATACGAGCCTGTATGGTGATGTACGTCAGAGTTCCTGTAACAGGTGTTTAAAAGCAGGTCTTGAGGATTAGCTGCTCAGGAAGCAGCGGGGCAAAATGCAACAGAGCTGCCCTGGTGTGTGTTCAAAGACTCTGTCATGTCATTTTCCTCCATAACCAATTTCTGGCTTTTAATAGAAGTTCACAGCAAGTATCCAGTCGAGCAGCGATACCGGCCATCAAAGACACTGACAGCCTTTGTGATTGCTTGGTGCAGGCAAGAGTGTGGAGGATGTGCCGTCTTCCTCTGTCTGTGCCGCTGTTGTGGGGTTCTGTCTGGGGCTGCCGTGTCGCTGTGTTTGTAGATGTTAAGTACAGGGGCTGGATGCCATGTGGAGAAGTCTTTAATTAGAGCAGGAAGACGTTGCTCAGGAGACACACCAGACCAGACGTCAGTGTGTGTGTGTGTGTGTGTGTGTGTGTGTGTGTGTGTGTGTGTGTGTCTATCTGCGAGGACTGGGCCTGGCTGTTAAACATCCTGCACATCTCAATAGTTGTTTTTTTTATCTATGAGTCTTTCTATAATTTGTGTGTTTTAATGCTTTCAAAAATACACCAGGGTGTGCTACACTCCTAATCAACATCTACAGTCTGGGAAAAAGTTAGAGGTATTCACATTTAACACCGATGGATCACATAACCAGTAAGGAGTTTTAGGCTGGAACAGGCCTAAAAGTCCTGTTCAAAACACCTGGTCAGAACTTTGAGACCGTTTGTGCAGAATCTGACTTGTTTAGGTTAAAACTAGATCATGTAACTTTTATTTCCAATCTTTTACATATTTATTAAAACAGTCACTGTGTTCTGACACTATGATATATGACAGATAATCAGTGAAATAAAATCAAGCTCCCCTTCCTCAATGAACTACTATTGCGCTTTGAAGAAATGCACCGCTCCCTTTTAAAAACAACCAATCAGAGCGAGGAGGAAGGTCTTAGCACTGCTGATCAACCTCAGGTGCACACTGCACATTGTGTTAACGGAGGAGCAGCAAAACTGTTTATCCTCTGTCACTTGTGGCCATGCTAACCAGCGAGAGCAATGACAAGGAGAGGCTGTAGCATGTCGGACAGGCTTAGAGCCTCCTTCTGTCTCTGATTGGCTGTTTCTGACTGAGCTGTCTATTTCTACAGGTAGCACTGGAAGAAGTGCTTCCTGTCTTGAGGAGCTTGATTTTTTTCACAGGTTATCTGTCTCGTACTGTCCCGACATAGTGACAGTTTCAACAAATATGTCAAAAACGTATTTTTTATAAAAGCTACATACAATACCTTTACAGTAATCGCATGTTTTATCACAGCAGCACAATATCACACTGATTCCATTTAAGATCTTTCACACTTGCATGCAAATTAATTCCATTTTCGTTTTATATCTGTGTCGCTGCAGCTCCTATGTGGCTGTCTAGCCATGCTCCCTGGGTATGGATTCTCACCTTTTCCTGATTTCCATCCCCACCTTCACGCTTTTCGCTGCCGAGGAGAGAGCCCCAGCATGTGGATTCCTGGCTCCGGAGAGTCCCACAATCCAAGCGAGTCCAAGGAGGGTCGGCCTCTCCTCCATCCCATCCATCCCAACCACGTGGCGGTGTGCCAGCAGGAAACGCTGGCGTTTATTGAGCTCCAGCAACCAGCACCTTCTAAGTTAAACGGTCTTGGCTCTCAGCGGCAGAGCAGTGATTCAGATGCACACTCTCAACCTCTAAATGGTTTACGACAAACTCTTAACGAACTGAATGACATGCAAAGAGGCAAACACAGGACACACACTGATCATGGAATGAATGTAAACACTCCGTCACACGCTGTGGATGACGCTGAGGTTGTTCAGCAGAACAGCACCAGGACTTCTTGGCAGGACCAAAACGAGAAGCCTCGGACAGTAACGACAGTTTGCCGCCCACTCCACGCAGCTCTCAGCCTCCCTCTGTCCTTTCCTCTGTCCTCTTTATACACAAACAGGGACTCCTGGGAATCTCAGGTACCTTACTCCTCATCCTCACCAGAATGTCCAGAGTTTCCGGGCCCACACGCCAGCCAGCCTCAGAGGAGAACGTCACAGGCATCTCTGAAGGAGAAGGCTATTCGTGAGTTGACGAAGCAAATCAGATCTTAGAAGCTTTTAACTCGTTTTTGTTTAAGGTAAAATGGTTCTGTTCTTGTCCTCAGGGCGAAAGGTGCAGGTTTATTCTCCAGACAGCCCAAGCGATGAATCGCTCAGCAGTCCAATCCTGGAGGCAGACTACATCTTCCCTGGACCTTTTGCCTCTTTCCTGGAGGAAGACCTCTGTGGATTATCTTCTCTGGATGCAGCTTCGACTCCCTCGTCCACAGATGGCACTCCAGATCTCCCAAGCATCGGCCACGGAGATATTTTCAATGTTCAGTCAGAACCCTTGCAGATAATAGAGGACTCAGAATCCGGAGCGGAGGAGGAAGAGGGCGGCGGCATCGTAGAGACGTCGCTTCACCCAGGAGTGAGCTTCTTGCCACGCAGTCGACAAACTGACCAAGAGCGCCGGCGTTTCTCGGCTTCAGAGCTAATATCAAGACTGCAGCTCTCCCAGAGGAAGAACTCGTTCACCTTAAGGCTGGGCAAGTCACTGTCTGCTCGGGCGGCCTCCAGAGACAAGCAGAGCTCCAACAGCCTGAGCCCCAACCCAGACTGTGAGTGGATGGATGGATGGATGGATGGATGGATGGATGGATGGATGGATGGATGGATGGATGGATGGATGGATGGATGGATATCATGATACATTATGACATCTCACAGTTGTTGCAGAGGTTTTGGATGTAAAATCTCCTTTTCCAACACAACTCAAAATTGTTGTGTTGCATTGAGAACATGTGACTGAAGAGGTGCAGTGAACTCAGTGTCATGCTAAAACAGCTTGGGAAGAGTTCAGCTTTATCCTGGAAGAAGGTCATGAGAAGATGGGTACAGTGCCAGAAAGGGATCAGGATGGTCAGCAACAATGCTCTGGTGGGATGTGGGGTCAAAACAAGGCTCAGTTTGTATAATAAAACGTTTTTTTTTTTGTTTGTTTGTTTGTTTGCTTTTATAAAAGTTACATACAATACCTTTACAGTAATTATATGTTTTATCACATCAGCTCAATTTGTATAATTTGGTCCAAAGTGTGTCAAGAAAATTTCACCGCCACCACCGCTCTGAACCATTCCTTGGAATCAATCCTTTCATGAGGATTTAGCACTGTCCTTTCTTCTTGAACCAGGCAGTCCGTTACCATCTAATGTTGGCAAACTTGTGTGAATTGTTGTCCATTTGTTGCTGACAAGAGTGCCACAAAGTTTATCTAAGTAGAGCTTAATCTATTTGCATTGAATCATTCAGACTCAAGTTTGATACGTTTCTTCACATGTTCAACGTTTTGTCTTTATTCGCTGTAGATAAGTATAACTCTAGACATCGCAGCTCAGGAGGCTCCAGTGACAGCGGCACCTACAGTCCTGTTGGAACCGGGCTTCCGCTGCCCAGTGGCGACAATGGGATGTCTTCTCATCGGTGGAGCGCTAAACTTGGGTAACGAAAATCCAATGTGAGAAAATGCTTTTTCAGTAAATATGTGGAGTTTAAATAAAATCTGTTGGTGTGGTTTCACAGAATGCGAAAGAAATCCATAGAGGAAGACTCGAGCATATCTTCATCATTTCCCACTTCAAATCGCCTGTCACGTTTTTTGCCAAGCTGTAAGTTTGCCTAGGTTTGCCTGTCTTACTATCTGTTATTCTTGTAACAAAAAAATTTCTCCTGTCACCATTTTTGACTTCGCAGCGATCCTCTACCAGGAGTACAGCGATGTGGCAATCAACCGAGAGATCCAGAGGCAGCAAGGGAAGGATCCAGGAACAGAGGAGGAGGGACTCAGAGACGAAGGCTCAGACGGGACTCCGTCTCCGTCAAATCTTTCTCCATCCAGCTCGTTTCGCTCTTCCCGAGGCTCTGCATTTGCACTGTGGCAGGATATACCTGATGTGCGAACGAGCGGTCAGTTGGACACCTTCAGCAATGAGGAGAGGAAACTACAGGAGGTGACAAAGCGTCAAGCTCGCCTTTCCTTTGGGGTTTGTCACATCCCTTCTTTGACTTCTTCAATTCTTTGTGTTTTTCCCCCTTCAGGCAAAGTTTGAGCTGGTAACTTCTGAGGCGTCATACATTCGTAGCCTGACGATTGCTGTGGACCATTTCATGTTGTCTCAGGAGCTCACCGAGTGTCTTGGGGCTCAGGAGAAGCAGTGGCTCTTTTCCAAGCTGCCTGAAGTCAAAGATGTCAGTGAGAGGTGAAGAGATCTGCAGCTGATTGCCTCCCCTGCACTCAGAGTCTATGTTTTAACACTTTCAGCTGTCATTCCTCACTTCCTGAGCACGTTCTCTTACTCCATCGCTGTCTGCAGGTTCCTTCAGGACCTGGAGCACAGGCTGGAGAAAGACATTCTCCGTTTTGATGTGTGTGACATAGTCCTGGATCACTGCCCGGCTCTGCGAAGGGTCTATTTGCCTTACGTAACCAACCAGGCTTATCAGGAGCAGACATACCAGCGGTTGCTGTGAGTAACTGTTTTTGGTTTATGTTCAGTCTATCTGTTTCAGATCTGAGTACGCACTCTTGGTGCGGTCTGTGCTTCTTGGTTGCTTTTGTGCAGAAGCTCTAAGCCAAACCTTCAGCTATCCAAACACAATAACGGAGAGGCTTGCAAGAGTATTCGCCACTCCTGAATTTCTTCGTTTTTCTCACCGTTATGACCACAAACATCAATGTCTTTATTGAGATTTTACATGTTAGACCACTAGAAACTAGTGCATGACTGTAAAGACTGAGGAAATAAATGCATATTTTTCAAACCTAAAATGAATTCATATCTAACATCACCCATAAACTCTGACCAACTTTCCTCTCTCTGTAAAGAAATGTATCCTCACAACATAATGCTGCATCACCCACGATTCGTGGTGGGGATGGTGTGCCACATAACTTTTATTATATCTTAATAAAAAGTGGAGCTTTGGTCTCATGTGGCCAGAGTTCCTCCCTCTCCATGTTTGCTTATCTGGCTTGTGGCAAAGTCCATGCAGAACTTTGTCATGGTTTTCCTTTGTCAATGGTTTTGCCTTGTAATTCCTATGAAAACATGCATATTTAGTTTTCTCTTATAGTTGTAGGAATGGGAACGTCACAGCGTTCTGGCTGCCATCTTGTGGCAACTTGCTAACACTTTTGTGTGTCTCAGGGGCTTTAATGTGTTGTTCTCAAGCTTTCAGATTCATAACAACATAATAATTGTGACAGAGACTTGTGGTTCAAACTGTTTGAACCAATCAAATCAAACAACTCAGCCCTGTTTATCCCTGATTACTGCGCACATGCAATTAGAAACCTGAAGACGCCTCAGGACCCCCATACGTTGAGAATGAGTGCATTAATGTCCTCTGGTGTTGCAAAGTCCAACTTTATCCTGCTTCTATTCAGGTGTTATTTTTCACCTGCATGACTTAACTTGCAGGCGGCTTTTCTTGGCTGAGTTAAACTTTTTTTTTTCTCTCAGGAGTAAAATCAGCTGGAGTTTTGATTCACCAAAAATGTCATTCAGGGTTTCATTTGTCAATGCCCTCTCAGGCAGGAAAACCCTCGCTTCCCTGGCATCCTGGCTCGCCTGGAGGAGGACCCCATCTGCCAAAGGCTGCCCCTGACCTCCTTTTTAATCCTCCCATTTCAGAGGATCACACGACTCAAAATGTTGGTGGAGGTACGACTCTGAACTCTCACAGTAGGGTTTCTGTTCACCCTCCAAATATTCAGACTGATATTTTAGTGGAAACCATGTTCTTTCCGTCAAACTTTGTGAAGCAGAAATCCAGTTTACCGCAGGGCTTGCCTTCTTACACCATCTTTACTTTTCAGAACATCTTAAAGAGGACAACACCAGGCTCCAGAGATGAGGACACGGCCACAAAGGCTTTCAACGAGCTAAAAAAGGTGGCAACCATCAGCTCTAACGACCAGAAGACCGGTATCATCACAGATGATGCGTAACAGTAATAACAGTGTCGGTGTGTGCCTCCTTAGATCATCAAAGAGTGTAATTCCAGCGTGCAGTCTATGAAGAGGATGGAGGAACTCATCCACCTCAACAAGAAAATCAACTTTGAGGGCAAAGTAAGTTACTTTTGTGGATTTTTCTTGTTGTTTTTAGCAGCTTTGGCTCGATTTACCCCACTAGCCGACCCATTCTGAGACTGGTTTCCTTCCTCTGCAGATCTTTCCTCTCATCTCCCAGTCCCGCTGGTTGGTGAAGCACGGTGAACTCCTGGAAGTGGACACCCAGATGATGAGCATTTCAGGATCAAAACTCAAGCTGCCCACCAAGCCAGTGTACCTCCACTTGTTTAACGACTGCCTGCTGCTGTCCAGGAGGAAGGAGTAAGTGGCGCCGTGTGGCATTAAACTTTAATCTGACAGCCTGTTTAGTGCGGAGATCATACCCCATGTTTCTTCAAAACATGTTGCTTTTATAGTTTTTATCTAATGTATAACAGCAAGGATTTTTTTGTTACATTTCCCAAAGGATGCTAATTTCTGCTGTCCCCTAAATTAATAAATACAAAGAAGGGAGGCTGCCGGTGGTTTAACTTATCATGTATCTCGTGGCTTCATGTTTATTTTCTCAGGATTTGTATTTCAGAACTACATATACATACATATTTTTATATGTATACATTTGTACTTTATCTTGTTTTATTTGAAATCTGAGACTTTATAAACTAAATCTAATAATTTTCCCTAGAAAAAAAAGAAAAACCAATAGGATTCATTTGCAGTAATTCTAGCAAAATGTTACTTAAAAGATCCTAAAGCAGGGGAGTCAAACTCATTTTCATTCCAGGCCACATCAAAATCACCAATTTCCTCAAACACTCTACAGCAGAATGTATAAATAAAAGTCATTTTTAATTAACTGTTTTTTTAGGTTACTGAACTGGAATTATAATTACACACAAAGAAAAAAAAAATCATTTGTATTAACGTGAAACATTAGGCTTAGATATCAATTGCAAAACCTCATCTGTTTTTGCTACAGTACGTGGAAGTTCATGGTATTTGTGCACGCTAAGATTGGAGAGCTGAAAGTGAAGGATCTCAGCCAGAAGCTGCAAGGAATCTCAGGCTTCATCTTCCACCTGCAGCTGTGCGAAGGCCAGCAGCTCAAACATCAGATCCTTCTCAAATCACACACAGAGTACGTCAAAGAAAAAGAAAGGAACTTTGTCTCATCATCTCCACTCAGGGTTGCTTTACGTTAACTGTTCCTATTGGTTCTGTCTGCCAAGGAGTGGGAAGCAGAGATGGATCACAGCAATGTTTCCGTCTGATCCGTTTGAAGACATTGAGCAGGCCAGTGAAAATGACGGTAAGTAGAGATGTTTATGTGTGCAGCATATCAATGTATCTCCGCGAACATGTTTTTTTATTATTATTTTTATGTGTTTTATGGCAGACATATCCCAGGTGCAGTGCATTAAAAGCTATCAAGCCCAAGAGCATGATGAGTTAACTTTGGAAAAAGCCGACATTCTTCATGCTAAAACCATTACAAGTGATGGTAAGAGTCTCGAGTCAGTTCTGAACATAGTGCCTTCCAAAAGTACTTGAATTTTTTTCACATTTTGTCACGTGAAAACCAAAACCTTCAAGGGATTTTTAGAAATCATGCTAACATAAACCAACAGAAAATAGCGGTAAGGTGTAAATTGGGTTTAAAACGATACATGATTTCAAAATTTTTTCACCTTTACATGTGAAAAGTGTTGTGTGCATTTACTGTCATTCTGATACCCCTAAAAAAAATCCTCAAACAAAATTCTTTCCAAATTCACCTAATTAATAACAATTGTTGTAAATAACACCAGAACTGAACTTATTAGTCTGCATGCAAAATGCTGGAAAAATGAACACAGCAACGTAAAACGAGGTGTTCGCCGCATCAAAGCAGGTCAGAATTAATGGGGGGGACAAAGAAAACCTTTTAGATGCTGCAAATAAGTTTGAGACCAAGCTATGATGAGGTGCCATGATTTAGATCAAAACATGTTTGTCTATTGGAACGTCCAGACTTAAATCAAATACAGAATCTGTGGCAAGACTAATATTCATAGATTATCTTTGTCCGATGTGACAAAGTTTGAGCCATTTCATCAGGCCACACTTTTGAAAATTTTCATTGTAAAACATTTTGAAAGCCACTTCACATTTATACATGGCTTTGTGTTGGTCTAACAACTAAAAAAAAACATTTGTAGCAGTAATGTGACAAAACATGTAAATTCCACGAGGAAGGGAACTTCCTCGTGGAATGCAACTTCCACGAGGAAGTTGCATTCCAACTTCCTCGTGGATATTAGTGAAAGCATTCCGCGTGTCTAAAACGTGCGAGGCTTGGATGCTTGATGTGTAGATGCTGATGTGTTTCTGCAGGCTGGGTGGAGGGCATCAGGCTGTCAGACGGGGAGCGGGGCTGGTTCCCCAAAACCTACGTGGAGGAAATCACAAGTCGCAGCGCTCGCCTCCGCAACCTCAGAGAAAACATCCGCATCAAATGTGTCACACAGAAACTGAAAGGGGAGGACTGAGAGCTTCCACTGCAAAGCTGCGATCCAGATGATCGTTTTCGTTTAAGACGGATGTCTGGAATTCTTACAGTCAGCAGGTGCTGAAATAAGACTTATTTTTCTTCTAACATGTTAAAAAATGCAGCAAAAATATTAATTTTTATTTTACATTTTCAGCTTAAAAACTTTTTCACCTGTGTAAGTCTGTAAAGGAAAAAAAAAAGGCTACATTAACAATTTAAAGCTCAAATTATTTATTTTTATGAAAAAAAATTGAGGACTATATTTCAGCGAAAAAAACATTGAAACAAGGATTTAACCCAGAAACAAAATTGTCTGCAGTTTCTTCGGCTGAATATCTCTTCAGATTGTTCCAATCTGTCATGTGAGCTTTGGAAGACGCACAGGATCAACTCGGGTCCTCAGGTATTTGCTGTTGAAATGCCTCAGGACACAAGCTTTAGGCATCGCTTCTTCTCTTCACAGGGCCTTAAAACTCTGCTCTGTCTTCTGCATACAACCAAATCTGGAGCAGAACGACAGATAAATTGATTTCTCAGGAGAGTTTCTATATTTGAAACCATTAAAACAACACTGGGACAGCGGGAAATGCTTAAGTCACCTCCTTTTAGGCTTTCATACCAGACAGCCATATTTGACTGGACTCGTTCACTGATCATAAATGAGCAGGTAGTGAAGGCCTGTCTTATCTTATACAATAGTTTCAAATTCATCAAAGAGTAGAAAAAAGTATTTTATTACTCAGTATAGCTGTTTAAAGAGAAACAAAACTCAACTAAAAAATAAAGGGTTTGGAATAGCCCACAAATTCTGTGATTAGTTTGGCAGGGCTACAAAACTACCTCCTAAAGAACTAGGAAAACATTCTACGAAATCTTGTAATTAAAATAGATTTTATACATACATGTAAATTCTCTGCTACGTTCAGACAACACTGATTTTAGTTTTCATCGACTCTTGAGTTAAACTAGTAAAGAAAAGTTTTTTCAGCGAGCGACTGTTCGAGGTCCCGTAAAACACTGCAAAAGAAGTCTAGCTTCTTTCAACTGCAACCAAAGGAAATATGTTTCGGCCCGAGTCATTTTGCAAACTACTGTTTTTCTATTTACAAAACATGAATCCCGAGACAATGCATCTCCCTGTGCGGAAAGCAATAATTTTCTGTTCAAACTGTTCCATCAAAATCTATAATTTAGTTGAGTCCTGAGGCGGATGTATTTCTGAAAAACACGAGCAGTTTTTTTTGTTTTGTTTTTTTGTTTTTTTTTAGTAACTTTCAAACGCTTGAACCGTCTGTTGTAAATTGTAGCCAAATTTTCACAGCTGAAAATAAAAACCCAAATAATGATGCACTATTTACTACTGACAAAAACATATATTTAAAATAAAAAGACCTCCTGTGTGGGATATTTGCTGTTTTTTAAGAATTTGTGAACTGACCAGAAAACGGTTGTTAGGGTAGACCTTTTTATATTTGTTTACTGTATATAAGGGAAATAACGTGTTTGCTATGAAAAGCGAACAAACATAGCAACTCCAGTCAAACCTTGACATGCACTCACCTGCATAAATGCCATATCACTTTAGGGATTCTTCTGATTTGGCCAGGAACTGATTGTAGTGCGAGTTTAAACATCTTGACAACCTATGTCTTTATATACAGCAGCGTTTCCCAACCCTGGTCCTCGATGCACTCTGACCTGCATGTTGTAGATGTTTCCCTTTCATATGATTGCAATTCAGCAAAAGCCTGTTAATCAGCAATCAATTAAAATCATGTGCAGGGCATTGTGCCTTGAGGACCAGGACTGAAAAGCACTGATATGCAGAACAACCTAACCACTGAAGCAAGGAAAAGTATTTAAAGTGCTCTCTGGGCACCATTGGACCCGAAGAGCATTGTGGGATATGTAGTATAAGCAATGCATGCACTTTCTACCAGTGGGCCAATCCTGTTAGAGACTTAGGATGCATTCACACCATCCCTGTTTAGTCCGTCTTAATCAAACTCTAGTCTGTTTGTGTAGAGGTGGGAATGCGCAATCAAACTCTGTTGCAGACAAAAAAATCAAACACTGATTTGCCTAAAAATCTCGGTCTTCGTTCAGCCGAAGTGAACTCTGGTGCAGTTCAAATACATGTGAATGCAAGTGGACTGGAAACCACTCCAAAAGCAGGAACAGACTATAGCACAGAGCATTCTGGGTAAATACAACCAAAGCAAACGTGCGAGTCTAGCGCCACCAGAAAAAATGGTTTGTGGTCATTTACCGAAGACTCGAGATAAATCCTGCTAAAATCTGACGAGATTCTTGTTTACAATGTGTGAAGAAGGGAGTTGAGCTAAGTGTCTTTTTCAGATGTTTTTGTGTCATTTCCTTCAGCAGTTCACGGTGCCACAGGTTGGGGGGGTGCGGGGCAAACATATTTTTACAAAGTATTTTTTAAGTTTGACAGTGCAGTGAGAAAGCAAACCACACCAGCTGAACATGTAACAAATGTTGCAATTTCGCTCCCCAGTCGAACTGACTCTACTGGACTTCTCTTAGAATTGTGAACCAATTATTTGAATTCCTAAAATAATACGACATTTATGCTCATGATGTGTGGCTGTAAATTGACTCCATTCACAAACTTGTGTGAAAATATAAATTTTACTTTCACAGATGCTCAAGTAAAAAATGTACATGCCACAGACCTGCTCCACTCTGACCTCTGACCTGGCTTTAAGTCAGTGTTTTTCTTCTGTAGCTCGTTTCAATCAGCATCATTTAATGATGCCTGTTTATGGACCACAATAATCCACTTTTCCAGTGGCACATGAAATGTTTCAGACTTCCTGTCAAATAGCTGTTTGTTGTAATTTAAACTGTTGTAGCATATGTATTTATGTTCCCCCAGATTCTGATGTATTTTACTGTAGATGGCGTTGTGTACAAAGAGTTAGAACTTGGCTTGTTTTCTTTGTGTGACTGTAATTTATATGCAGAGACATTTGAATTTGAATCGTTTCCACCGGTGCTTTTGGTTTTTAACCCTGATGCCATTGTCAATATGATGCCATTATACACTGGAGTTCTGCACACTACTGTAAATGTTTCAACTCTCAGATAAACACTGGTACTTGTTCAATGCTCAGTAAGTGAGTCTTTATTTGAAAACTGTTTACTAGTAAAGTTCTACATACATAAATGTACAATATTTTCAGCCCTGGCTTTCTGCTCTTTATATTTACCATCTCTCCTCTTAAACCAGGTCACGGCCTGGTTTCAGTCTGTTCACACGTGAAATAGACCAGACTCTCTTTTCCGGTACTTACAAATAATCAACTCAGTGAATTATATCTAAATTAGGACAAGAACTTTCCACCCTTGTTCTGGCAAACATCCAAGTAATAAATACTTTATCTAAAAGTTTATTTAGATTTATATTGAACAGTCCACTTTTAGAGATTTTCCTGAGACCTGCAGGTCAGCTCCTGCCGTTGATGTGACACTGGTCGCCTGCTAAAATCGGCTCCTGCGACTCCATCCTGTTCCTCTGCAGCTTTGGCACTAAGGGAGGCAGCGGCTGACTCATTATGATGTGACTGTCTCTGTCTGGCTGTGGATCGAAGAGAAAAAACAGCTTGGTCAAAGTCAACTGTCAATATTCCTAGGAAAATATAATGATAATAAAAAGAAGTTCCTCAGGAAAGTGTTAGGAATAGCATTTCTCTAACACAACATTCTGCCTTTAGCCCTTTTTTAATGCAGAAAATTTATGTTAAGTAACTAACACAACAAAGTCATTCATTTGTTCAGTTCTGAGCCTTAATTTAAGTTCTCATCCTTTTATTGGTTCTTAACTTCTTATCTTTGTATTATTTATAGTTATTATCTTTTTTATAATGCATAGTTCTTATCTTTTTATTATTTAAGATTATTTATGTGCTGTGTGAAACTTCAGCCTTTATCGTTGTGTTTTTCTCTTTGGCAGCAGATACCACAACAGATTTCACATTACTGCGTGTAACTGTGCATGTGACAAATACAGCTAATCTAATCTGAGCTAAATTAGTCTAACCTGGTGCAGATGAAAAATCCAGGCCTGATAATCCTCCACACAGGTGCAGGAGACCTGCAGCGTCTCCACCAGCTCCCCTATAGCCAAAAACACAGCCGTTCTATAAAGCCAGTAAGTGCATTTGCATTTTCCCCATTCGGGCAAAATGGTAAAAACAAAAACAGGGGAATGTTTCTTCTTTAAAAAAAGACAAATAGTAAAGCATTTTCTGACTTGTTTACCTCTTAGTTCAAACTCTAAGCGTCCAGGAAGTGCTGAGCGCTCCACTGCTTTGATGCTCTGTCTCGCCAACCTGCCCTGTTACAGACAACATGAAAAACACAAAGAAGGAATGTATGCATTTCATTAATTATACTACAGAACATTTCTTGATTTTTTTTAAAAACACATTTTAAAATAAGACACAAGTAGCAGGTTCAATTTGGCAGATCTTCCCCCAAACCGGTGTTGCAAAACGTGAAATGCTGTAATGATTATTTTCACACAAATCTGTCTCATGGTGGTGCAGGAGCTGTTATTATGGATTTTCCTCTCAGAGTCATTATACAGTACCTCATATTTTATATGCAGCCGCTTACTGTCCACAGAAAGCAGCAGGAGATCTTGAGGAAAGAGAATCATCAGTCTTTCTTGGAGACCCTACAAGACCACAATTATCAATTAAAATCTCCCTAAAAGGATATTTTTCATAGTTTATAATGATCTCAAGCTTGCAATTTTACTGCATTGTTGCCATGGCACCTCTTGGAAACTAAATGAAAACAGACGTTGATGTAAAGTGAATGCCTTCTCAATATTTTTCGACATCCTCCTCTGAACGATGTTCATCGGTGTATGATACACGATTAGTCATATCGTGTGCAACGGCATGGGAGCCGTCATCGAACTGAAGTTAAAATAAGCTCTGCTATTAAACTAATCCTGTTGGGAATGTGCTTAAAGAGCAGTCCTGCAAATGAAACCAGAAAACCCGACTACCTGTCTTTGAGTGTTGATGATGTGAACAATAGAGATGTGTCCAGGCTGACCCATGTGGTGTATGGGTGAGCCCTCCCAGTTCCATATGGGAGCCTGCATTACATATTTCTTCAGCTCCTCTCTTTTCCAGTTTTCATCACAAGGCAGCTGGTGAACAAAGACAAAAGCACGATATCAGCTGCGCCACTCCGGCCATCCGCAGCTGGAACCAGATGTGCAACAGATGTGAAAACATTACAAGATAAGAAAGAGCACACTGGGAGGGACTCATGGGTTGCATCATGGACTCATGTCTCCGGTCTTCTATGTGCTGAATCCATCTCTGTGACTCTCCTGCACTGGCACATGTAAACACCTTGGAGTCCACCATTGCACCTGGATAAAAAAAGACAGAACTGGGTGAATGTACACCCAAGTGCCAGATCTTCGCTGAGATTAAAAATCTCCCCTCACTGGTGATCTCAAACATGTGTGTTGGATGTGACGCATCCGGCTGCAGGGATACGGCTCGGACAGACAGGCCTGAAACAGGAAGTATACCCTGCCGGGAAAGGAAAAGCAAAACCTTTGAGTGACATGCATTACTCTGCCAGCATTTAGTAAAATATATCAGCAAATTAAGACTGCATTCACAATGCAGCCTGAAGTGACCCAATTCCGATTTTTTTTTTTTTTTTCAAATCGGATTATTATTTTTTTTCCGTGGCCGTTCAAACTTGTGTGGGACCTGTATGTGTTCTCCAGTTTGAACCGTACACGACCTGAAAGGGTCCCGCATGCGCAGTAGAGGGCGCAATAACGTCACACATAGAGAACGTACTCAGTGTTTTGCCAACCGCCACGAAGAAGAAGTAGTGCTCATTTGAACCGGATATGTATCGGATATCCACGTGGCCTGGGTCATACTCAAAAAAAAATCCGGCCTCTGTTGTTCAGACTGTCATGAAAAGATCAGATACAGGTCATGTTACGTCAGAAAAATCAGAATTGGGTCACTTCGGAATGCGGTGTGAACGCAGCCAATATGGTGAGTTAAATGGATGGATGGATAAAAGAACTGACAGACTGGATATATAGTACCTCGTATATGAAGTCTTCTCGGGAGTGATCCAGAGAGAGGATTAAGAGGTGAAAAGAGAACAACAACAAGAACCGTTCACTTTGTTCCTGTGAACACATAGCAGAGGTGTAATCAGCTTTCTGTTCTTGGTCGTTCAATTGACAGAAAATGGAACAACCAATACAATAAAGTAACTGCACTACAATAACTAAATACGGTGCACTGTTAATAAATAGCTGATTAAAAAAAAAACCTTTAAATTTAGTATCTAAGTCGAGTAATTAAAATAAACAGTAAACACAAGCAAATTGCTAGGAAAGTAGAGAAGGCCTTTAGATAAAATTATCTTTAACTGCAGTGGCATAATCTTGTTCCAATATTATGGCATTAAACTATATTTTTCTTTTTTTCCCATATTTTTTTGAATAAGCTAATTTACAACATTAAATTTCTTAATTACACGATTTTCATTTAATCGCGGAATTTGGTTTCAATAAAGTAAGTAGTGTTTGAATTTGCATTGAATTTTTAAAACATTTTTTTTTTCGACGTCTTAGAAACATCCCACATTAAGAAAGGATTTTTCTATTAATCACTGCCACCACCACTTTTACAACCCTTGACTGACACTTAGATTACATGAAATTAAGTATTTTTTTTCATTGTATAACTAAGTGTGTCCAGGAACTTTTAAGTAGTTAGATCCTGTTTAGCTATGTTATAAATATGATGTGACGCAGAGGTCCATTTCTATTAACTACTCCTCAAAATGGAATAGTTAAGAAAACATGCCATTGCTGATCCTCATTAGTCAGGAAATTGCTGTAAGAAAGTTAATGCTTGCCTATTTCTACAGCCAGAATGGTAGTTCAAAAGTTTAAAACCATTGGAAATATGTCTAACGAGGCTGAATGCTGAGGGAGGAGGATGACAAAGAAAGGAAGGAATTAGACTGTTGCTGTAATAAAACATTTTTGATCTCATGTTTTTATTTTACCGAAGTTTATTAGGCGTGCAAATATGTGTAGAAGAGGCCAGCAAAAGGCACATATTTTGTAAAGAAGTGATTTTATTTGACAAATCCCCAGTACTTTCCTAACATTTTTTCCATGTTACCTCTGAATAGTTGTTGTGGAGAAACACCACAGAGGAGTGGATGACCTCTCCGTAAACATGAGCGGGTTGACCCTCCCAGCCCCTGATTGGCTGCTGAGAGTAAATCCTGTGGTGGAGCTCATCTCTGGTCCTACCCCACAGCACCACCTACAGACACAAGAAAGTACGAGTGCACACCATTCTTTTATTTTTTATTTTTATTTTGGAATGACAGGAACAAACATTCTCATCTTGTGATCTTTAAGGCTTTCTGAAAGCCGAAAAAGGTTTTCTTTGCACTTTGGCTCTTTTTTTCCTCACTTTTTAGCCTTGAATTTGACCTTTAAAATAGTGCTGTTTGTCTGAACTGTGACCTTTTCAAGCAGAAAAGTGTCCTGCAGGAAAGCAGTGAAGCAGTGCTGTGTCTACACAGGTGTTGAATGGCTCTCCACTCAGGGTGTCATGACCTGCAGGAGGCCATGACCCAAAAAAAAAAACGTAATAATCATAACAGATGAAGCATGTTTTTTTGTTTTCTTGCCCTTTGTAGAATTTTTCACAGGGTCACTAAACATAAGTTTAATGTAGAACTTAAAAAAAACTACTGTTAAAGAACTACGACTAACCTGTTCTATAAACACAATTTTGTCTGGACCCAAAATGAGTGAAACAGCAGCCAAAGAAAACTCCAGCAAACTTTTAGGGAGTCTGAACAATTGTTAATAAAAGCCATCTTAAAAAACAGTAATAAGTGTTGCTCTTTGCATGTTCAATATCAAAAATAAGGGTTGGGGAAATAATGTGTGTGACTGATGTCTGTTTTTTTTTTTATCTTAGGTAAAAGAAACACAATTAAAAATCTTGTTTTATTCTTGCAGAGTGTATTATACATGTGCGAGTGTGAGAAAATGGAAAACGTTTGTCTGCCTGATATTTACTGAACCACCTCTGCACTCTGACTTTAAAGACTTCTGCAGTGGCTTTGTGGCTTTACTCTGACCTCCTGTTCCAGGTGTCGCACTGAGGCTTTGCATGGCAGCTGTGGTGCCAGCTGCTGCTCATCTCTGCTGTTCCTCACCGACAGCTGAACTCTGTTTTCGCTCAGACTCCATACTCTGAAAACACACACACACACACGACACATCGTCTGTCAGTGGTCAGTGATGAACTTGCTAAAGCAAGTAAAATGACTGTGGCTCCGCTGCTTTGTACACTGTGTGAATGTCTAATTCACAGTGGCTTTTAAGTGTCAGAAATGCAGCAGAACTGTGAATTTGCTGATGTTTTTTTTTGTCTAATATGCTCTGTTCAGCTGGTAACAGCATTTGTCAACAATATGAAGATAACATAAGGATGAACAGTATTAAAACCTAATGCCAACAACATGTCTGCATCCCCCCAGCCTAGACTAATCAGATTATAGAGATCGGAGGGGAGACAGACGTGCTGCTTATCTATTCCTGCAACAATTTGTAGCTTTATCCTCCAATAAGAATGACGGTTGCATAGATTAGTTTGGTAGAAGTTAGAACACACCAAACCTGTCATTTCACTGGGAACTACGTAGACTACAGAAGGATTTCTCTTAGATCATGTTGATGTAAAAAAAAAGAAGATTTAAACAGACACAGTGTTTTGAAAAATGTTTTTATAGTCTGGTCTTCTGGTTCTGGTTTGATCTGCATCCCCAGAACCAGACATGGACAAGTAGCAGGTTTCTACGTTTGGAGAAACAAACAGCTTTTATGCTCCTCTAATCTGGAACAAAGTTCCAGAAAACTGCAAGACTGCTGAAACGCTGAATTCCTGTACACTGTGTGCACAGTTATTAGGCAAGTCTTAGTTTTGGCCATATCATTTTTTCATGCATATTTTACAAATCTGAACTGTATAAATCTGAATGCTTATCGAATATAAATGTGTCAGCTGATGTGTATTTGTTTAATGAGGGAGTGTGGAGTCCAAGGAGATCAACACCCTTTGTCAAGTGTGCATAATTATTAGGCAGCTTCTTTTCTTCAGGTAAAATGGGCCGATAATGAGATTTAAGTGACAATGAAAAGTGCAAAATTGTAAAAAGTCATTCAGACATTCAGAGCGATGCAGCACTCTTGAAATTACTAAGCTATTGGGGTGTGATCACAGAACCATCAAACATTTTGCTGCAAATAGTCATCGAGGTTTAGGACTAAGGTGTGAATTGAGTTTAGGTTTCAGGTTAGGCACGTACTGGTAATGGTTGGGTTTACAGTAAATCCTGGTGAAGATAGACAGACAATATGTGTGTGTGTGTGACCCAGATGGATTGGTTATAATCCTCCACTAGTGCTATCAGACCAGTGTACAGCATGTGGTCTTGCAGTTATACACAACATGTGTCAAACTGGTATCTCACAGGCTGACTCTGACTATTTCTGCATTTTAAACCTTAACACTGCAACACGTGTTCACACTTTACTGCAAGTACCACAGTTGGTAGCACTGTGGCGTTGCAGAAAGAAGGTCGTAGGTTCAAATCCCACCCTTGGGTCTTTTTGCATGAAGTTTGCATGTGTGCAAAATTCAAGCAGGCAGTCTGCATGCAAACTGTATGAAGTTACATTTAATAATTCTCCAGGTACTCCGACTTCGTCCCACAATCCAAAATCATGACTGTTAGCTTAACTTGTCTTTCTAAATTGTTCTGTGCTTGTGTGCTTGTGTGTTTGTGTGCGTGAGTGTGTGGTTACTTTCCCTGTCTGTCTCTGTCCAGGGTGCACCTAGACTCTCACCCAATGACCACAGTAGATGGGGACTAAGCATAGTGCCTGTCCTGTCCCTGATGAAGAAAATGTCCTCTCATGAAATAATGCTGGGAATTGTTGAAAAAGCTCATGGGGATGAAGAGAGACGTCTCAGAGAATGCTTAGAGTTCTGTTCTTGGAGTGGCTCTCAAACAGATCCTGGACAGAACCATCTTTTTCAGATCCAGTGATCCTTTCAGCTCCCTTCACTATCTTCCCCAGGGCCCTCTTATCTACAACTGGACTTGTAGATAAGACAAGACTCAACCAGTGCTTTGCAGAACTGTCTGAAGATGATAGGAGAGAGGCCGATTTTACTATCCCAGCAGTGTTCCATCGTTAAGGACTCTGTACTTAAAAGAATTTAAAATAGACATGTGACATTCATTTTAATGCCATAAAACACATCCTCTGTGACGCTATTGTAACACTTGTCATAATTTAAATGTTTTCAATGCGTGACTTTTGTTTTTGAGTCATACGTTGCCAGGAAGCAGCGCTCCACCGCTATACTCTTTGCATACTTAGCAAAGCAAGATTACACGGTCAGTACATGTGCATGTGGCGGTTGCTCCAAGTCCCGTCTGTCGAGTTCTCCCAGAATATCAGCATCAGTTTTCTCCAGACTTTTAGATTAGATTAGATCTGGCCAAATGTACACTTTTCTGTTCCATGTCAGTGACAGTGAGAATCTGCAATATGTCGTGTTTTTAACATCAAGCATTGCATATTTAAAATGAATGTTCTTCTTTTGCTGATTTAAGAACTCTGAAAGAAACCATTATTAATTTAAGATTTCAAACTTAAATAATGATTAATGTGTGAAACCCTGAATGTCGACCTGGTTAGAAAGTATTGCTGATACGGAACTCATGAGTATTTTTTTGAAACCCACCTTTAAAAATACCGATGACTTCTTGATACATTAACACAGTTTTAATGTAGCCTATCAATGTCTAATAAATTCCCCGTTCATAACATCTAGACACTCTGCCTTCTGCTAACCACGGAGAGCTGAACAATAGATAACCAGACTGATAAGGAAATCCACTTAGTTTTGGTGCAAAATGGTTGCGTAACAGAAGCTCCTAGAAGTTTGAAAACCAAAGTGAAAGATGCTGTTAAAAACTATTCCCAAAACCTCTGACGACGATGAAAAGTTATGAAAACAAAGACGTCCAAATTATTTCTGTATTTTTAATAAGCAATCCAATCTTAAAGAATCAATGACTGCTCCAGAAGAGCGAAGTACTCACTTAGTACTCACTTAGTACTCACTTGGCTATGAACATTTTTCACAAAAACTTAAAATTGTGAAAAAGGAATTAACCTTTAGGGTCATAATGATGACATTTTTATGGCAAATCTAACACGTTCGTTGTCTCAGGTGAACAAAAATAAAAAAACATTCTAAAATCCGAATATTGGTAAGAAAAACAAACAATGTTTAAACTTCAACTTCCTGAGTGGAAGTGCCCTGAAACATTGGTGTTTTTTTGTT